ACTAAGTATTATAAACTTCCTACCTACCGTATAAATATGGTCGAAACTGTTTAACTCCGAATATTATTGCAAGACATTCTAATTCTGTTGTTGAATAGTTGCTTTCGCTTTTATTTAATGTGCGCGACGCATAACATATTGGCAAATCTTTACCTATTTCTCCTTGAGATAAAATAGCCCCGAGTGCTTTATTACTCGCGTCTGGAGTTAATAAGAAGGTCTTTGTGAAATCTGGATATTTTAAAACTGGTTCTGAGCATAACGCTGCCTTCAACGTATCGAATGACTTTTGACATTCGTTCCTCCATACGAAACTCCTGTCTTTCTTTAATAAATTGGTTAGTGGTTTTGCTATTGCGCTATATGAATTTATGAATTTCCTATAATAACCACTTAATCCTAAAAATGATTTAATGTTTTTTACAGTTGTTGGTATTGGAAATTCTACTACTGCTTTTAATTTACGTTCGTCGGGTTTTATTCCGTCTTTCGTAATAACGTGTCCTAGATATACACATTCTCTTTTTAAGAAGTTGCATTTATCTGGTTGTAATTTTAAGTTGCTTATTCGTAAACGCTCGAAAACTTCTATTAATTTTTCGTTATGATCATATAAATTTTTTCCATATACTATTATATCGTCTAAGTATACTAAGCATTTTATTCCTATTAAACCTGCCAGAGCTGAATTCATAACTCTTTGGAAGGTTCCGGGACTCGTTTTCATTCCCTGTATCATTCGTTTGAAATGCCAGTGACCTTGGTTAGTCGAAAAGGCTGTTAACTCTCGTGAGTCTTTTTCCATTAAAATTTGGTAAAAACCACTCAATAAATCTAAGAGGGAGAATAACTGACTATTTCCTAGTTGATCTAGTATTTCTGTAATATTTGATAAAGGGTGAAACTCATTTATAGTAGCTTCGTTAAGTGCCCTAAAGTCTACTACTACTCTAAACTTTTGTTTGCCTGAATTGTCCATTTTCTTTTGTACTAATAATAGTGGGGAATTCCATGGACTTCTCGATTTCTCGATAATTCCATTTTCTTCCATTTTTTGAATTTGTGAATTTATTTCCTCCTGTTGTGCGTGTGGTAATCTATAAGGTCTACGATAGATAGGTGGCTGATCCTTTTTTAACTTAATAGAATGTGTACCGACATTGGTAAATGTTAATACATCCCCTTCCAAATGAAATATGTTATTATATCGTTCGCATATTTCGTAAATAGATTGTTTTTCAATTTCGTCCATGTGGTCAGTTATTATTACTTGTTTCAAACGTTCTATTCGTTCTTTATGATCATTTGTCGATTCTACATTATATATTTCGTATTCAGTATCAAAGAGTATTTTATTTAAATCAAATTCAGATATATTTTTCGTTTCTTCCGAGATATTCAACATGCTAACTATTGCCCTACCATTATTAACGATAGATACTGTACTACTGCAATATACGTCTTTTACTAGTTCTTGCTTATGTATAAATATTTCTTTGCTTTCTATGAGTGGGTCAGCTATCTGTATTCCTACAATAGTTTCAGTTTAATTTAATAAATTTAATTTAATTTAATAAAACTGGTTTTGTCGGTCTCTCTGAAATTTGTTAGCGCATGCGAGGTCGTTTGAATAATTAATTTGTTGTTTGCTACATCGACTATTGCGTTATTTTTCGACAAGAAGTCGTTTCCTAATATTCCGTCCTTGGGTATTGGGAATCGTGCATTTACGATATGAAATTCTGTTTTAATGTTTTCGCTATTTAATTTAATTAATATTGATATTTTCCCTATGGTTTTTGTAAGACATTCATTTATACCGCGTAGATTTTTTTTTTGTGTTTCGTCTACTTCTAGTTCTTCGCGTAAGCAATTTATTTTGAGAATATTTACCTGACTACCTGTATCTATCATTAAATGTAATTGATTTGTTTTTGCGGCATTAGAATCGAATGTTATATGATTATTTTCTAGTTTTGCGAATATGTGAAATATTCGTTCGTCGGTTGTTCCGCGATAATCTGGTTTATCGTGCGAGTACCGCGTACCGCGTTCGATACATTGGCGTTTCCCGAATTATTTCTACTTTCGTCGTTTCTCTTTTTATAACATGAATCTACATTATGACCGTTTTTATTGCAATATGAACACAGAACTGGTTGTGCATTATAATTTGTCGGCGGTTGCGTAAAATTATTTCTATTAGGTGGACGGTTGTTATTTCCGTTGCTCGCGTAGTTAGGTCTCGAATTATTTCTACATTGTGATGCAAAATGATTTCCATTGCAGTTATAACATTTTATTGGTGGTCTATTAATTGGTTGAGAGAAGTGGTTTGCTCGTGGATAATTATTTTGCGCAAAATTATTCGGCCTTACAAAGTTATTTGGTCTAACGTTCCTGTTGTTCCTAATTTCATAATTTGGTCTACGTTGATTATTGTTTTGTGAATAATTACTTGAATAATGGTTCCTATTTTCCTGTTCTAATCTTAGTTCTACCTGTTCTGACATAGCGATTTGTTTCGCGATTTCAAGAGTTTTAGCATTACGAGATTTTACTATCGTTCTAATCGGTTCTACTAATCCTTTAATAAATACTGCTAGAGTTTGGTCCCTTAATGTTTCATGTATAATTTTTGCTTCTGCAGGCTCTTTGTTTAATGTGCTTACGGTACATAACTGATAGTATAGTTTCTCTACTCTGTGGCAATAATCGTTTACATTAGTTGTTACTTCGAATGCGTCTGTTAAATATGCTTTTATAAATTGCCATTTTGTTACGTTTTTATATTTAATCATTTCTAATGCTCTACCCGTTAATCGTGTAGTAATATATTTTACTAATATTGGTGCGCTAGTTGCGTCGACTAAACCTACTGCCATATCACATGCATTTATGAATTGGTAAATATCATCTATCCCTGTGCATACTGGAATTAATTTAAAAGCGTCTTCTAATTTTATGGTTACTGCCATTTTTTTATTGCGTGATTTAGATATAAAATCTAACGACTGATGTTCAAAACTATCTGTGACTTTGCTACGTGTGACTACTCCTAATTGTGGACTTGGGGTTTTACTTGTGCTACCTACTAACTGGGTATCTACTATAGTATTTAACTGGGCTGTCTGTTGGGCTTCAAACTGGGCTTGGGCTTCTCTCTGGGCTAATAACTGGGCTTCTAACTGGGCTTCTTCTACTACACTAGTGTCATACAATGAATTAGCTACATTCAAGGGAGATGTATCTTCTTTGTCCATAAATTAACTTAACCACCTATTTAATACGTTAATAATCATAATTATACTCAATAAAATTCAATAATGCCCTATAAATACAATAATAACTTCAATAATATGCCCTCTAATAAATTCAATAAACTTCAATAATACTTCAATAATAAAATGCCCTCAATAAATCAATAAACTTCAATAATAATCAATAATAACTTCAATAAAAATATGCCCTCAATAATAAAACTTCAAATAATCAATATGCCCTCAATAATTCAATAAACTTCAATAAAAATATGCCCTCAATAAAATTTAAAACGGTTTACACCATTACACTTATAACCAACTACCTAGATTTATCTTAATATGTCTTAATTATGTTGCATACGTCTATGTAACAAATTTAAATAACTATTCACTCACAATAATGCTGCGTTCATGGCTGATGATGACATGTTGCCGTTGATGATGCTGCTAATGGATTTGTTGGTACTGCAATGTGACTTATTTGTTTTTTGTTGGTTCCTCCTGGAGTTGTCTTCGCTGAAGAGTGATCAATTCCTCGTTGTTGACAGTAGCCTTTGATGGTTGCCTCCCTTTGTGGAATCCTACGTCGACTGCGCCAGTGTTACATGCGGCCCTTCAGGGTTCCAAAAGCTGGTGTACTTTGATAAATAATAATAGTCAATTAGTATGGTAATCAAATGTATTATATTAAACCAGACAAAATAAGTAGAATAATAGTGTTGATTGTAGCGAATTGTAGCTCGTTCCGAAGTTGATAATCTCCGTGTAAGTTGTGTGTGATGGCTGGGCGGCTAAGCGAGTCGTGTGGTGTTCTCGTCTCTGGATACATCTACTCAGGCTGTCTCGCTGTCCCCTATATATATGGTGGCGGCGTCCTTTGAAAGTGGGCGGCGCGTGTACAGTCGTCCTTGATATGGACCTCACGACTATGAAAGTGGTATTCGTAGTCGAAAACACTTTTGGGTGTGGTCGCATTCCTGGTTGTTATTATGAGCAAATATATGATATTGCGTAATCCCATTCCTGGTTGTTATTATGAGCAAAATACATGATATTGCGTAATCCCATTACAATAGTAGGTTAATAAATTGGTCGTTGTTGACCTCGAATGTCTAAACCCGTGTTGATTATCTGAAATTACTTTATCAAGAACGGTTGTAAATTTTGGTACTAATAGTTTTTCAAAAGTTTTAGGCAATGAACTTAATTGCGAAATAGGACTATAGTTTGTTATGACATTTCGATTACCTGATTTAAAAACAGGATAAATAAAGCTAGATTTCCACTGGTTAGGAAAACAACCTGGCGACAAAGAAATATTGAATAGATAATGAATTGGACGTGTTAATGAAAAATAACACTTTTTATAAATTATTTCAGGAATTTTATCTGGACCACTTTGAGTTTTATATGATAAATTACGTAGAGTATCAAAAACTTCCGTTATGGTGATCTGGCAACTGTTAAAATTAATATCGGTATTGTAGCATTGGATATGATCAACATTACTATTTGACTGACTGTAAACAGATTCAAAATACGATTTAAACATGTTCACAGTATCATCCACATTTTTTGCAACGGCAATACCATCAGTTATGTTGTATGGAATGACATTAATCTTTTGTTTATTCTTAATATAGCTCCAGAAATACCTAGGATTATTTGTCATATAAGATTGGATTTGCTCAACGTATTTATTATAACATAATTTAGACATGATTTTGCATTTTTTTCTTAATGCAGAAAAAGCTTCATAGTCAGCATTATTACCGGATGACTTAAATAATTGATGCTGGAGTTTTTCCGTTTAATAAGCACACAGAGCTCTTTGGAAAACCATTTTGGGAACATACGACTACGAATTAATTTTTTAGGAACGGTTTGATCAATTGCGTCTAACACTACTATATTAAAAATATTAACTGCATCATTTATATCACTTAGTTTATACATATTAGACCAATTATTGTAACCAGCAATAATAAGATTCAATTGGTCATAATTTGCTTTTTTGAAATCATAAAACCAAGAATTAGGGCAAATATGTACAGGAGAAATATTTATCATGTAATTTGTAGTTAATACTGGGTGGTACAGATCTATTGGAACTATACTATCGTCTGAAGGCATAACATTTACCAGTGGGTTGTTTGAAAAGACCAAATCGAGTTGAGAACCATGGACATTTAAAATATTATTTAATTGGTGTAGGTTTAGCGATGAAAAACAATCAAATATAATTTCTGAACGAGACGAAATTTTTCCATGCATATTAGGCCAATATCATTACTAGTAAAACGCACCTGTGGTAGATTGTAGTCTCCGTATAGTAATAAATTAGTATCAAAGGTATATTTATTGAACAGCCATTCAACCGTCTCAGTATGTACAGTATAGTTATTTAACGGACTGTGTGGTGGTAGATAACAGGCACCAATAATACACTTATCGTTATTTCCCCATTTAATCAGTACAAACAGTTGTTCGACACTATCATGTTGTATATTAATAATCTCGGCCTCAAAACGTTTATTCACAAAGATAGCTACTCCGCCACCTCTAGTACTATTACTTGTCTTATCGCTCCGATCTAGACGGAACACATTATAGCAATCAAACCCGAGTTCGGCATCTAATATATTAGAATTTAACCAGGTTTCTACTAACACAAAATAATCATACCTGAATAGTGAAATATTACATATTAATGTATTTAACTTAGTACGTAAACGTCTTACATTTTGGTAGTACCCTTTTAACAATTTACTCTTATCGATTGATGTTTTATTACAATAATTACACTTAATTCTAATATTTTTCTTAATACTAATTAATTTACAATTATAACATAGACAAGACTGACCATGATTTGCGCGCGTATTACTTATTAGTTTTTTGAGACGATCTTTGGCACACCATTAACATATTTAATAATTGAATTAAAATCACCGTCTGCGCGTTTCTGCTGGAGTATATTTCTTAACGATTTCATTTGTACTTGTTGATATTGGGTCAGGTCGGCATTTACCCATACATTTTTCCATTTTTCAAGTGAGCGGAGCTTGGATTTATTTCTTAATAATAGTCTAGATTCATTAGCATTGTTAAGAACCCCCTGATTAGTACATATTTTATTTTTTATATATCTATATATGTTAACAACATATATAGACAATCACAATGCAGAGTGTGTGTCGTAAGACGCTGCCACCGTGGGAACCGCTGAATAAGGGTTTTTGATGTGAGACGGGGCACCGTCACGACAACACACAGGGAGTCAGTCAGTCGTAGAATTACCAGTGTTCGAATAACAGATTGTAGCTACACTTAATTTTTACTACCAGTTTTAATAAAAAAATACATTAATTATTTTAATTTTCAATTGGTGCGTACGTTTATTTTGTGTTGTGTGTAAAATCCATAACATTTTTGGTGGCAGCGGTGGGATCCGTAGATTCCGGTGTTACGCTTAAAGTAAAAATTTGTTTTAAGTGTTTAAATAGCTAAGTAAATCGCGCACTGCGTCTACGTACTCAAATACGAGCAGCAGAAAATTCAAACACTCCAGATCAACTCAGACATTTCAGACCTTTAACATTCAGACATTCTACAGAACATTCCTGAAAATCACGTAAATAATATTATTACTATTATTACCATCGGCGTCAACAAATTCTTGGGCGTGGCATTGGTGCGCCGCCCGAAGCCGACATCGGTCGAACCAGTTCGAGCAACGGTAAGACATCAAATCGATAGTCAAAATCGAAATCGATAGTCAAAATCGAAATCGATAGTCAAAATCGAAATCGATAGTCAAAAATCGAAATCGATAGTCAAAATCGAAATCGATAGTCAAAATCGAAATCGATAGTCAAAATCGAAATCGATAGTCAAAATCGAAATCGATAGTCACAATCGATATTGTTATCAATATTGATAAGAGTTATCAAAATTGATAAGACTATTGATAACATTGTTTACAACAACAATCAACAATAACGGAGCCGAATTGAAACCCACTACCTGTAGTGGTCCCCGCGCCAGCAGTTTCGGGGCAAGCGAACGTCCATTCAACAAGAGCTGTCGAAGAGGATTTACGTCGTTTATAATTCTTTTCACTGGCAACACTCAGAGCCAACCCGATTCATCCAGACCCTTTCAACAACGCACATTTCCAATGACAACACTCATGGCGGCATCAATACAGTTTGCGGTGTTGTGAGTAACAGAACATTTACTAACATACTAACAATTTAAATTAGTTATTGAACATTTTTTTTTATTATTTTTTTTTATTATTATTATTATTACTGTCATCAAACCTAGTAGTGATAGCATTTAATAATTTATTTTAACTGTTAGCAACAGTAGTAGTAGTTTGCATAAATCGTTATTGTTTAACACTTAGTTGATGAGTGATACGGGAGATACTAATAGTAGGACCCCTACCCCTGAATTGGAAGATAGAGAGGAAACCTCCGAGAACCCTCTCCCTGCTCCACGTCTCAGTCTTCCTGTTAGGTTTGCAAATCCACAAGTTCCAGAATCCGAACGACCTGTTGCGGAAATTTCGGGGGATAATCTTTTTATCAACCAGACCAATGAAATCATAGAATTTAACGAGACGTTGTTGCAAAACGTTAACCAAACCTTAGCTTCCGTAGATAACGTGCTTGTTCATACGAACCATACCTTGCATACAAATATTTTAGATCAGACCATCACGATGGCCGATGACGGGTCCCTTCTACAACCAAACAACATCGAAACAGGAAATTCCCGACAGAACGAAAATCCAGTGATCAACACCTCAACACAGAACAACCCACAAGAACTCCTATCACAATCTGGGAAATCCGTAGACACCATCGGATTAGAAGCAGCCTTGAAGTTATTACCATCGACATTCAGTGGAGAAAATCAAGAAGATCTCGAGCTGTTCCTAGAAACATGTGAGTTCGCGATTATGTGTGCCAATGAGAAAGCTAAGCAGCGACTGCTCCAAGGCATTATTATTCGGCTTACGGGAAAGGCCCGGGCCGCAGTAAAATTTCGTTCGATTCAATCCTGGACTGAACTCAAGGATACCCTAAAAACGTCACTAGAACCCCAGCGAACTACGCCACATTTATATTTGGAACTGTATTCGATCAAACAGAAAGGAGATGAGGACGTAATGACATATTCATCGCGTATTGAGGCCTTACAGACACTCATATTAGAACAGGAAACAAACGGAAAATCCGCAGAAGTCGCCACAGCATTGGAGGACAGTTTGAAAGCACAGACCATTCAAGTCTTTATCGAAGGATTGGGAAAACTGAAAGACTTCATAAAGGCTCGAAATCCACCAACTCTTGACAAAGCGATTCAAGCTGCAAGAGAAGAAGAAAGGGTGAGAAAATCGCACGACGAGTCAAAGCGTTTCTATGAACCGTCTGCTAAACAAAACAATGGAAAAACACTTACAAAGAAACCGAGTACCCCTTGTTTCCATTGCGGAAAAATGGGACATTGGGCCAGAGACTGCAGGTCTCTCCAAGTGAAGCCGAATAATGGTCAAACACCTCAAAACGCCCACAAGGCGATCGTTAATACAATTACTTGTCGTTACTGCAAGAAACCAGGTCACACCAAGGAGGAATGCAGAAAACTAAAATACGTAAATTCAAAGCGATCCGCAGAATCTCCAGCTACTACCTCACAAAATTCAAAAAACTCTACGCAGTCGAGTGCCGACGGCGGGCGCCCGGCAGGAAGCCTGAAAACAGCCGCAATCTCATTCGCAGGAATATCTTAAATAATACGGCTCGCCAGAAAATTGAACAGGATCATGTACAGTGTCAAAGCCCTCAGACCATTCCAACAGACAGCAAATTTTTAATCGACTCTGGCAGTGACTTAAATTTAATCAAACTCTCATCATTGCGAGATGAAGTAATAGTTTACGACCATACCGTGTACGAACTCAAAGGAACAACAGATAATCTTGTGACGACTTTAGGATCCGTCACTATCGAACTTCAAATTGGAGGTGAAAAAAGACGCGTTGAATTCCAAGTTGTTCAATCCGATTTCCCAGTACCAAATGAAGGAATCTTAGGTAAACCATTCATTATCGGACATGGAACTATAATCGACTACCAGTCAAAGGAATTAATCCTCCCTCCTCTTGTGAATTTAACCATACTACCAAGAACAGAAATTCTCGTTGCCATTCCAGCTCCCAATAAAACAGAGGGTTCAAACATTTTAATTTCAAGCCAAAGCATTACCAAGGCCCTCACCTGTGGAAATTGTGTTACCACAGTGAGAAATCATCTTATATACGTTCCTTTTATTAATCCAACAGTCGATCAAGTTCAATTACAAATCCCTCAACTAGAGCATCTCGAACACGAAGATTTCAACGAAGCTAATGTGCACTTATCACAAATTTTGGAAAATACAGAACCTAGTGTTGATGGGAACAGAATATCTCGCTTACATTCAGCCCTGCGAACCTGCCATTTAAACTCAGAAGAAAAATCCTCATTGCTTACTATTTGTGAGGAATACTCTGATGTGTTTCAATTGGAAGGGGATAAAATCACAGCAACAACCGCCATTACTCACGAAATCAAGACTTCTGAAGCCGTTCACCCAATTCATGAAAAGCCATACCGACTACCCCAGCGACATCGGCAAGAAATAACAGAACAAATGGAGATTCTAGAGCGAGAAGGGGTAATTGCTCCTAGTGACTCGCCATGGAATGCTCCTCTTTTGGTGGTTCCGAAGAAACCGGATGTTAACGGAGTAGTAAAGTATCGAGTATGCGTTGACTTTCGACGACTCAATCAAGTTACAGTGGGAGATGCTTTTCCACTTCCCAATATCACGGACATCTTAGATCAGTTAGGTAAGTCCAAATACTACAGTACACTTGATTTGGCCCAAGGATATCATCAGGTGCCAATGAACCCGGCAGATCGCGAGAAGACAGCCTTCTCTACGGATAAAGGCCATTTCGAATTTTTGCGGATGCCGTTTGGTCTAAAGGGTGCTCCCGGAACATTTCAAAGAATGATGAACAAGGTACTTTCAGGCCTGAATGGGTTAAAAGCGTTCGTATACCTTGATGACATCAT